AGGAGGAGGAGGAGGAGGAGGAGGAGGAGGAGGAGAAGAAGAAGAAGAAGAAGAAGAAGAAGAAGGAGGAGGAGGAGGAGGAGGACAGGGACGAGGAGGAGGAAGAGGAGAAGGAGAAAGAGAAAGAGGAAAATGAAAAGGAAGAGGAAGAGAATAAGGAGGAGAGGGAGGAGGAGAAGAAGGAGTAGAAAGTGGAAGATGAAGATGAAAATGAAAAGGAAGAGGAAGAGGAAGATGGAAATGAAAATGAAGAGGAAAGAGAAGAGAAGGAGATGGAGGATAAGTAGAAGGGGAGGAGGAGGTGCAGAAGGAGGAGGAGTAGCAGCAGCAGAAGAAGGACGAGGAGGACGGCGGCGGTGACAACAAGAGGGCGAAACGGAGACAGATAATGCTCTCCTTCCAATACTCCGCCAACTGACCAGCTGACACGAAGCTCGCCGTTTAGGGGACTTAATTTTCTCGAGGGGATCGGAAGCAATTATGGGCTGAGGGTCAAGTGTGCTGAAAGGACCTCGACGGAGCCTTTAAAGGGATTGAATCGCTTCTTTGAATGATTCTTTTTATCATTCTTTCCGTTTTTCCTTTCCTTATGGTGACACGATTCCTTAGTGTTTGGCTTATCGTTCGAGGAAGCGGTTCGGTGGAGGGGGAGCGAGTTGGCATCATCACTGTCACGATGACAATATTGGTGTAAAGTTGTCATCACTGTTGGTGGTCTATCTATTTACCATTGTTGATAATTATCGTGACCGATGGAATTGCAAAGAATTTCAGCAGAAAAAAAAAATTACCACTGATATTTTGCCAATATTGTTGTTATTGTGATGATCCATTTACCGTTATCATAACCTGCTCACTCTTATGACGCAACCAAATCCTAATCCACAATCGACGCCAAGTAAAAGTAAGAAAAAAAAAAAAAAGATAAAATCGGCCACAGTCACAAACAAACCAACTGCCTCCTTTCCCTCTTACTCCCCCCCTCCCCCCCCCTCCCCTTTCCCCCGCCGTGTCGACAGTACAGAAGGCGTGGCCGATCAGCAGTTAATTTGTAGAGGAGGAAAATCCGGCAGTATAAGATGGCCTGTTTCCCCGCCGCTACAAATTGATGGCCGGGAGGAAGAAGGGCGTAGGTGCTAAGGTCGTGGAGGTCCTTTGTGTCCCCCGAGATGGATAATGATGTGAGTAAATTTAGACTCACTGATTGCCTTGCTCCGAATTTTCTCCGCTGGTTCAATGGACGCTGTGATACTTGAGGACATAAATGCAGGCGTGGGTGCGAGACCTTCTCTCCTTCTTTCTTCGCTTCTTTGAGGTAAATGTAGCACAGACACGTACACAGACACAGACAGACAGACACACACAATTACATTTATGTGTATGTGTGTGTGTCCTTATGTATATATATATATATGTATATATATATATATATATATATATATATATATATATATATAAGGATACGGCCCGCACGAAACAGTATTCTCTCAGAAAAAAGACACAAAACCTTACACGCATGAACGACTTCAGAAGTTGTAAAAGTGACCACGAGAAGCGCCCCCTCTCCCCCCCCCCCCCCCGCCCCCTCTGGCCCCACCCTCATCCTCCACCCCTGATATGATATATGGCATGCGAGAATGAATTTACAACCTGCATGGTATAACGGAGTAAATAAGAACGTATGGAATATAGGGCGCATTTATGATAAGCTGTTTTTCATTTCTTTAGTGTTCCCCGGCGTTAAATATAGTCTCTGTTGCTTGTATTGTTGGACAAGAGAGAAAAAAAGACATAAATCCAAAACAGGCATTTGAAAACGAAAGTCATTGGACGCTTATCGGATCTCTCCATGTTAAAGGAATATCAGTGTCTATTTATACTCGTACTTCCCACACGCTCACAAAACCTCCCGAAAGAAAATGCCGCAAAGAAAAACAAAAACCGGCGTAAAAAAGAGTGAAACCTTTCAGCAACATCTAGAGCCAATTCATCACTCGTCCTGCCTTTGGACTGCCACTCTCAGACGAGTTCCAAAAGCCTCTCCTCCGCCAGCCACTCGCTCGCTCGCTCGCCCACTCGCACGGAGGCGCACCAGCGAGCGAGACGCCTCATGGCCGGAGCGCCCTGCCCGAGCCGAAATGAACCGTGGCTTTAGACCATTTTCTGGACGAGTTGATGACTCCAGCTACTCCGCGGAGGGGAAATAAATAGTATCGACAATTTGAGTTTAAAAGCCGGCGTTTTGTAGATCCAGGGAGCTGCTCGCTCTTGTTAATTTGGTGCGTAATGGTGCGCGATCTTTGATGTTCTGTGTTCTGCCTTGTTTGTGTACGCGGCCGGGAACTGTGTGGATTTATCACTGTTTTTAAAGCGTTCATTTGTTCATAAGTATTCGTCGAGGTGAGGAAATCTCGCTTTTTCGTGTATTTGTGATCATTAATGAAATGTCGATTACTTATCTGAGGGAGGAAAAGAAAGAAAGAAAGAAAGAAAGAAAGAGAGAGAGAGAGAGAGAGAGAGAGAGAGAGAGAGAGAGAGAGAGAGAGAGAGAGAGAGAAGACAGGCAAAGAAGGAAAATCACCTTAAACTACCCCAACTAAAGGAAGAAGGAAAGGAAGAGAGGATACAGCAAGCATGAAGACAATGCTAAGCGTATCTTTAAGGAGTCCACCCTCAAGTATCCTAAATGGACCGGAGCCGATGGTTCTTCCTCGCTTCCGATGGCCACTTCTCGATTATTGTTGTGGCAGTGGGGGTGCAGGGGAGAGGGAGGGGGGAGGAGGAGGAGGAGGAGGAGGAGGAGGAGGAGGAGGAGGAGGAGGAGGAGGAGGAGGAGGAGGAGGAGGAGGAGGAGGAGGAGGAGGAGGAAAGGAAGAAGAGCATGAAGAGGAAGAAGAGGGGGAGGATAAAATGTTAAAATGATAAGATGAGGAGAAGGATAAGGAGGCAGAAAAAGAAGAAAATGTATAATAATAACACAAGAAAGAGAGGCAGAGTAGAAAAGGGAGGATGTTGTGGAGAAAGAAAAAGTAGAGTAAAAAGGAGAGGAGGAAGGGAGTTAAGGCAATATGAACAGAGTGCAAAACAGAGGAAAGGAAAGAATCATCAGAGAGAGAGAGAGAGAGAGAGAGAGAGAGAGAGAGAGAGAGAGAGAGAGAGAGAGAGAGAGAGAGAGAGAGAGAGAGAGAGAGAACGGCCTCCCTCTGCCCACAACCGCAACAACAGCCGGAGCACAAGAAAGCGGCTTGGGCCCTCAGTTGGACTTCCGACGCCCTGGACAGATGATATCAATAGATCCTGGAACTCATCACTCATCTGGCATATTATTCTTCGTCGTGAGCGTCCGTCCTTCTTTTGTAGCAACACAAGATTAATTCCTCCTTGCAGTAAACTTTTGTCTTTTTTTCTTCCCTTCCCTTACTATTTTTTTCCGCTTTACGAAGAGCCTTCCGGTTCTTTGTGTCACGAGCAAGAAAAAGAAACATCAAGTATCCCTCTCCCCAATAAGACTTATGATTGACTGATTTTAAAGCTCTCACTGCAATTTGATTAATGGAAGTATGGAAATGAACTCCATGCTGGCGGCGGACTCTCAGACAAGAGCATCTCAATCCGCTCAGATCCACTTTGATGGCCGATATCGCTTCCTTAACATCAATCACTCAACCTGTCTATAGTGTCGCTCACACACTGCGCGACAGAGAGGAGGTTGTGTCAATCTTTATGACTTTGTTTACAATGAAAATGCTTGGCTGAGATATTGTTATTGATGTTACTATTTGCATCCTTGCTGGTGTTATTGTTATCAATTTTAGTCAGGACAAGGTGTTACAGGCGTTGCTATTAATTTTCATTGTTACCCTGTATATATGATCATCACTGCTGTTATTATTATCATCTGGATTATCATAATCATTATTATTATTATTTTTTTTAACAATTTTATCATTATTATTATTATTATTATTATTATTAACAAATTATTATTAGTAGTGGTAGTAGTAGTAGCAGTAGTAATAGGAGGAACGTCATAATTATTGTTATAATCATCGACATCATCGTTATTATATGACGAGCGTACGTCATGAAGTCTCTCGCCGGGTTGCGGTTGTGCTGGTAATGCCTCGGGATAAAGATTAAGCAGATCAATGTCCAAAAGGGAGGATGATATCAAGCTCTTAAAATACGAGTTGGAACAATGAAGCTCTGCGTTTTGAATAATATCAATAACGATATCTTATAATGCCAGTTACTATTGAGGGTGACATGTCTTTCACAGCCGAACCCTAGTTGTTTGCAATGATGTGCGTTTATGAAATCATCTATACAATTATACAAATCAAGTTACTCATTGGTAAGTCCCCGAGAATGTGTCTTCCTGGACGGGGCACGTGCACACTGGGTTCGCCTCGTGACGCAGCACCTCCAGAAGGGAAATAAGCCCTGTGATAACATCAAAACCTGTACACAGCCCTAATAAACACGATCTGATGGCGAGCAACGATACGTGTACAGCACATCCATCTAATGGATTATTTAGCGGTGTAGATTTCCTTTATTATTCAGAGGATTATCAGTAGTAACATATACGTTTATATATATATATATATATATATATATATATATATATATATATATATATATATATATATATATATATATATATATAATGAAACTCTAAATAATAAGATAACTAAGTTATGCATATTATGGCTTATAATAGAATGTTAAATCATATAGTTATACGCTCTACACATTCATATGTAGACTGTATATGTACGAGTAGATACACACATGCACAGATATATGTAATATGTATGTATGTTTATGTATATATATACATATATACATACATACATATGCATACGCATATATACAGATATATATATACACGCTCATAATTAATACTGTATTGTGCCCATAAAGACGTCTATCAACGGCAAAGTTGTCCATGCAAGTTCCAAAGACGACAGAAAGCACGTGGCCGCTCTCCCACTTACCTCTTTCTCTTTGGACTGAATAATATCTTCGACAGGTGTGCTCCTCCCCGTCCTCTCTGTGCTCCCTTCTGAGGAGTCCACAACGTCATTGTTGGATTCTGTGTTTGTGCTTTTGTTTATGTTATGGTTGGAGTTTGTGCTATTGATGTTGTTGTTGTTGTTATTATTGTTATTGTTGCTCTCCTTTACGCCCTTCTGACACTTGATCGAATCGAGCTGTTCCTTTAGTGTGTGGACTTCGTTTTCCGCTAACGTTGCTCTCTGTGGAAAGAACAGAAAGTCCTTTTTAGAGCTACTGTTAGGACGAGCAAGTTTTATATATGAACAGAAAATAGATCTATCTTTCCAACTACAGTTATGTAAAAGAGAATCTATTTCTTATCACTTATATCTAAGCTTAATTTGACTGATTCTCAGAATACAAACAAACGGAGAGCAAAGCAACAGAATTCCCTAAAATTCGTAAATTCTAAATTTCCTGGCAATTTTCGTTTATATATTTACAGTTTCACTATACGTTATATCAGTCCAGAAGAACAGAAAGTAGGTAGACACAGACCAGTGTGTGTATATACAGTATGCAAAATATATACCTATCCAAAGTGTATATATTTTTACATATATATATACATATATACATATATATATATATATATATATATATATATATATATATATATATATATATATATATACATATATATACATATACATATACATATACTATATATATATATATATATATATATATATATATATATATATATATATATATATATATACATATGCACATATATATATGTACATATATATATATATAATATATATATATATATATATATATATATATATATATATATATATATATATATATATTATATATATATATATATATACATATCTATACATATCTATATACACATATTTGTATGTATGTACATATATGCATATATATCTATATATATATATATATACATATATATATATATATATATATATATATATATATATATATATATATATATATATATATATATACATATATATATATCGGACAACCGGAACAGTGAATGGATATATGAATAGAAAACGGGTTACGGGCCGGCATCTTTCCCCTTTGTTGACGGTTAGCGTGTGAAAACTATTAACAAAAGAAACCCGCCTGACTGACCACCTCTCAACATCTAAATCGAATCTTTGTGTTCGTAGTGTTATTCGTCGGTCAAAATACAAAATTTACAAAGCAAACGTTCAGTCAAAGCCGTGGCGTGACTCGCCTGTGTGTGATAAGAGAGGATGTCTAAGTGTGTTTTATCTTCGGGCCTTTTGTGTCGAGAGATTACTATTTCTCTTGATTGGGAGAACAAAACCCTTTCCGAACCCCTAGAGTGCGTGGAACTTTTATGCATGTCAGAAAGGAAATCTTATGAAGTATTTTCGGCACGGGAAAAGTAGGTATTTCAGTCTCGTTTCGAGGCGAAAACAAATAATTTGCTGCGACCAGAATACACAAAGGAATAAACGATTATACAATATTTGTTTTGCGTTCAGAATGCGCAGGTTGTTCGCGGGAATCCCGACTTCTGTTGTAAGATGCTAAGTTAAGGTGTCAAATCGAGAGGGAATCCCGGGCAGTGACGGGATGCCAGACCCGTGAACATACCAACAACATCGCTGCTTCGCTTCGTTGTATTTCTTATATTCTTGGCTGGCATGGATCCGTCTTTGAGGCGAAGAACTCCTGCAGTGCTCGGTCCGCGTGATGCCTTTATAACTGGCGATGTGATGGTGCTTTTCTTTGCTCTCTTTCTCCATCGCGTCTGTATAGATTTCAAGGATTTTTTACGCAAGCGAAGATGCTCCAAGGTGTCTCGCCATGAGCACATCCTCAGGATATCTTTACGTCCACCGCTCGTCACACTCTTGCTATAGCGTCCTACCGGACATCATTTATTCATTTCTGGCCTCATTACATGCCAGCCTAGCAATCAATCTATTATGCATATACATAAATCTCCATCGGTCTGTGCCATTCATAAATACAAATCTGCAGGGCCTTGCATTCTCCCCCTTTCATCCTACCGATTTTCCCGAAGGTTTGGAAAGGTCGAGAACTCGTTGCCCTCCGCCACAGTGGCCGGCGTGGGACTGCCTAAGTGAATCTGTACAATCAGAGTCCACTGGCCTTTTAGGGTCGTTCACAGAGCAGAATCTGCGGCCGAGAAGACAGAGGACAACAATGATTTACCTCCGCTGAATCGCCTCGGACTGCCACTCAGTTGTCTTGGGGCGTCTTGTCGACTTTGTTCGCCGCGCTTCGGTACCGATTTTCTGTTCTTCCCTTTGGGTGGGTCACTCTTTTTTTGCTGCGGTTCTTTGAGTGAGATGAGAAAACACCGTGAGGCGAGGTGTGGCCGCCGTGGGGAAGCTACTCTAGCGGCACCGATCGCTGTTCATCGCCGGGGCGTTTGTGAAGAGACCCTGAGAATCCCGGAGTCTTAGATAACACCACGAAGGGGCGTGATTAAGGACATTTCCTTTATAAATTTCCCTTTCACGGAATAACCATTTTATTTCACTCTCTCGTGGCTGACCGAGGCATTTCCTCTCTGGCTGGGTCCATTCTTTCCCATCGTTATTATTTCTGTTGTGGCCTGAATTCGTCTTTGATGTTTGTCTTGCCTATACACTCGATGCGAACATTAATAGCTGTTTAAAAGAAATCACAACCTATGAGCATTAATTTACATTTCTCTCTCTCTCTCTCTCTCTGTATATATATCTCTATATATGTATATTATATATATATATTTACACATGCACACATACACATATACATGCATACCTCATGCATAAACACATACACATCATAATCCTTTTTACTCTTTTTCTTTATCATCAACTTTGGTTGTTATCCCTTCCTCTGCCATGCCTCCCTCCTCCATCCCCTCCCCCTCCCTTGCCTTTATCCTCCTTCCAGCCTCTACCCCCCCCCTCACCCCGCCCACGGGCAGGGCCTGAGCTCTTCATCATACCTGTGACGTGACAAGGTTCCCGGCGGATACTGATTCTTACTTCATTGTGAATGACAGCGGCAGCAGCCAGAAGCCAACAGGTTGTTCCTGAAGAATGGGGCTGGGTGTGCATGGGAGAGAATGGGGATACAGGAGGAAGTACAGAGAGGGGAGAGGCAGGACATATAAAAAAAAAAATAATGAGGAATATTTTGAACTGTATGATAAAACAATGGAAGAAAATGCTGATGGTGAAGATGATGATAAACAAAAAAAACGGGAGAGCATGAGGTTAAGACATAACGATGATGGTCCGAATGGGCGAGGAAATACACCCAGAAAATCGGTGAAATAAAACAACCATGAAAATCCGGCGTCCAACGAACACAAGACAGCCAAGAAAACACGACGAGCGAACATGGTATCCGAGGAATAAGAGGAAAAGGAGGTACACAGGAGGTGTGGAGGAAGGTCATTAATCAGGCATCAGGCAAAGCGCGGACTGCCATCATCCCGCCACCGTATGTGGGCAGCCCTTGACCAGCCTCCTCCCGACCCTGATTGGCTATTATAATCCTATTCGGCTTTCTCGCGACGCGGGATCAATTCAGCATTTTTTTTCTTGAAAGCACGTATGCTAATATTTGTTAATGGAAATGCCACAGGACGTCTCAATAACGTCTGGTTGTGAAGGTGTTTTTGTTTTCTTTATTATTATTAGATGAGGGGAATGTTTATTATTCAGCATAACAAAAATCTTATCAGTTAAATTGCATTAGAAAAAAAACTTATATATTTCCGAGTTCTGCAATTAGCAACTCCTCCGCCGACACACAAAAAAGTAAGAGATAAAAAAAAGGGTAACAGAAATTCCTTGAACCGAAATCCCCAGACGCCCAAGTCACGTGAGGAGGCTGCTACACCCCATCACGACCCGATCACCGTCATAATCGCCAGACATTGTGACCTCCCGTGACCTACATGCCTTCTCCCAGCGCTACACCTATTGTTCTTCAACAGGGGACACATCGCTCTCCCACAGCCCTCCCTCTCCTCCCTGTCTCCCTTGACCCTCCCCTTTCCACTTCCTCCGTCTCCCTTGAACCCCCTCCCCTCCCCCTCCCTTGCCTTTATCCTCCTTCCAGCCTCTACCCCCCCCCCTCACCCCGCCCACGGGCAGGGCCTGAGCTCTTCATCATACCTGTGACGTGACAAGGTTCCCGGCGGATACTGATTCTTACTTCATTGTGAATGACAGCGGCAGCAGCCAGAAGCCAACAGGTTGTTCCTGAAGAATGGGGCTGGGTGTGCATGGGAGAGAATGGGGATACAGGAGGAAGTACAGAGAGAGGAGAGGCAGGACATATAAAAAAAAAATAATGAGGAATATTTTGAACTGTATGATAAAACAATGGAAGAAAATGCTGATGGTGAAGATGATGAAAACAAAAAAAACGGGAGAGCATGAGGTTAAGACATAACGATGATGGTCCGAATGGCGAGGAAATACACCCAGAAAATCGGTGAAATAAAACAACCATGAAAATCCGGCGTCCACGGAACACAAGACAGCCAAGAAAACACGACGAGCGAACATGTATCCGAGGAATAAGAGGAAAAGGAGGTACAAGGAGGTGTGGAGGAGGTCATTAATCAGGCATCAGGCAAAGCGCGGCTGCCATCATCCCGCCACCGTATTGTGGCAGCTGACCAGCCTCCTCCCGACCCTGATGGCTATTATAATCCTATTCGGCTTTCACGGCGACGCGGGATCAATTCATCATTTTTTTCTGAAAGCACGTATGCTAATATTTGTTAATGGAAATGCCACAGGACGTCTCAATAACGTCTGGTTGTGAAGGGTGTTTTTGTTTTCTTTTTATTATTAGATGAGGGGATGTTTATTATTCAGCATACAAAATCTTATCAGTTTAATTGCATTAGAAAAAAAACTTATATATTTCCGAGTTCTGCATTAGCAACTCCTCCGCCACACACAAAAAAGTAAGAGATAAAAAAAAGGGTAACAGAAATTCCTTGAACCGAAATCCCCAGACGCCCAAGTCACGTGAGGAGGCTGCTACACCCCATCACGACCCCGATCACCGTCATAATCGCCAGACATTGTGACCTCCCGTGACCCTACATGCTTCTCCCAGCGCTACACCTATTGTTCTTCAACAGGGGACACATCGCTCTCCCACAGCCCTCCCTCTCCTCCCTGTCTCCCTTGACCCTCCCCTTTCC